AAATTCTTTCTTTGGGTTGAGGGGCACAAGGTTTCAGCTTGAGCCTGTATCCAATCAGTTGAACTATGGAAGAAAAGTTAAAACTAGAAAAATCATACTTCTATAGCCCATACTTACTAATTACCTATAGGTAATCTTCATGAAGCTAAAAGTTCCGATCTCAGGAGGCAAGGAAATGTAGTTTTTCATCCAGTTTTCTTCTGGAAATGGTTAAAAATTGGCTGTAAAAGAGTATTGTTTGTTTCTAAACAATCATTAGCTGCCTTACAACACTTGAGTGATTGTTGGGGGGCAACAGCAAATTTAGGGTTAAATCTTCAATGGAATAGAAATTACATTGTTACAGAATTAGAAAGAAAAAAATCTTAAATTGATAATGGGTTGTTTCAAGTTCCAAATATATTATAAGATGTAAGAAATTGTTACATTCCTAAATTGTGCAATTTGATAAACAATTATATCACCTATTGTGTTAGAAAAGCTCTTTCTCTTATAATGTAGAATGCTGTTAGATTAAGAATTGTACTATTAGAGAAAGAGAAAAAGGAATGGATAAAGAAGCTGTTAGGTCATTCCATCTGACCATTTGTTGTAGCATTTTTTTTAAGTACTGTAATTTAAGAAACATGAACTTCCAAGTTTTGTGTATATTTAAAGAGAAGTTTCAGCTGAAATTATTTGGTTCTCATCTATGAAAGTTAAGATTGTTAACTAAGCTATTTGGAGTTATTGTGAAATGGACGTGAAATGGACGGGCCGAGAGTAACCAGACACACGCCAAATTAGAAAATAGAGAGCATTTACTGGAGCCGGCCGGCGACTGTCCCCTGGATGCAATCCTAGGAGAAACAGTGCCAGGCAAGAGAAATAACAAAGCTTTATACCCAACAGTTTTCAATCATAGATACTAATCCTTTGATGTAGTGAAATTTACAATCGTGGATTAGCGATCCTTTGAGGCAGGGGAATTTACAATCGTGGATTAGCGATCCTTTGAGGCAGGGGAATTTACAATCGTGGATTTGCAATCCTTTGAGGTAGGGACTAAGGAGGTCAGGCTAGGTTTGTGACAACTCAGTCCACTTCACTCCCCCCTTTTCATGGACGAAAAGAGTCAGACGGGGGACTCATCAGAGTTCAGAGGAGCATAGGATCGACGCAGGACAAACAACTGGAGTGCTTGCACTCATTTCTGGACATAGCGGGTTATGCATTTTATGAAACAAGGGGCCACGAGTAACCCAAGGAGGAGAAGGGCCAGAGGGCCCACCATTCCGGAGATTAGGGTGGTTAGCCAGGGGGACCAATTATACAGGGTCTGATACCAAGAAGACCCCGTTGCCCGTGCGCGGTCCCTCTCATCTAACCGCTGCCTAAAGGCTTGCAAGGACTCCCAAATAACTCCAGACCGATTGGCGTAGAAACAGCAGGTTTCTCCCAACGCCATGCATAAGCCTCCCTGTTTGAGGAACAGTAGGTCCAAGCCTCGGCGGTTCTGGAGAACCACCTCGGCCAGGGCGTCTAGGGAAGTCTCAAGGTGTGAGACTAGCTCTTCCAAGGATCGTAGGTCCCTGTCTACCTGTGCACTCAAGGCACCGTAGTTGGCTTTCCCCTGTATCAGGGCTGAGGCCCCAACAGCAGCGGAGCCGGCCACTCCGAGTCCCACCAATATAGGAACCAAGATAAGTACAGCCCTCCTGGAGCAAGTTAGGCCAAAATGCTCAGCTGCCCCTTCCTCTGAGTAGACATACACCTGAGGAAAGACACGCACCACTACGCAGAGCTCGGTCGGGTTGAGGAAACGAATGTCCCGTATGCAGGTGGTGAGTCCTCTGGTACAAGCGAACCATACTCCAGGTGGGGCGGTTAACAGGAGGTCAGAGCTTTTGGATGTGGGGGAAATAAGAATGACTGAAGTGCACGTAGCGTTGAACGGGGAGGACCGCAGCGGGTAGTCAGGCCCGAGCAAACACATTCCTTTGCCCTGGACATCGTCTAGGGTAAGTCTAGGCTTGTCTGGGTTACAGCAGGCAGGTATGGCAGAGGGTCGTTTGGACTTACTTAAAGACAACTTTCCCACAGAGGTGATGTTAAGTTCGATAGCAATTCCTACGAAATAGGAGGGGGCTGGATTCAGACACAGCCAACAGGAGGTGGTTATGTTTGGATCAGACAAATTTAGGAATGAGTGGACAGCAGAGAGTGTATCAAAAATGGGGGAACCTACGTTAGTGAGGGTCTCTGGATTTTCGGGAGCCTCTGGTACCAGGTCCCTAACAGATGGTGGGGCAAGAGTCAATATGGCTTGTGGATTAAGGATGGGATTCGGACCTATTGGGAGTGTACGGGTGGGAACTGCGATTTTCTGAATGGTAAAAAGGACCCCATTATCCCACCCAGTCATGTATAACCTTAAACCCCAAGAATGCCCGAGATTCCAAGAGTCATCAGTGTCCAGCTTGACTGTTAGAATCATAGGGTTACATTTCCCAGGCCAGCAGGAGGTGGGGAGGGGGCTTTGTCTCTCCAGGGTGATTAGGGGGTCCCGGCCGCCCCTAGGAATCCACCTGGCCACAGTCTCACAACCCCATTCTGCGCAGTGAAAGTGATTACTACCCTGACAGGAAGGATTCCCCGTGGCCGGACAAACATAGAATTCAATACTTCTGATTCTCACTTCCCCTACCCCGGGTATGGTTGGAGTGGTGGGAAAAGTGGGGCAGTATCCCCATCCCCCAGCGATAGGGTCCCGCATAGCCCGGTTTTGATTCCATCCTGGTCCCAAGAGGGCACAGAGGTCAAACCTGAAAGTGGGGGCTCCGTAACTGGTGAGAGCTTGGACGGTGGTCCCATCGTTAGTTCGGGAGAGAATCCAGCTGGATGGGGTAGGGCTATAGGGGTCACCCAAAGTCATCCCACAAGCAAAAAGAAAGAGAAGAAGAGTCAAGTTCTGGAGAGTCGAAGCTTTAGGTCGGACACTGCTTCTGCTGTCCAGGCGGTGGAGTTGGGCTCTGGGGCCTTCTTGATGTGTGACCGATGTATCCATGCCTTGTGGCCGGCAACCTTGACGGCAGAGGGGTTGCAGAAGATAATTTGATACGGGCCCGTTGACCGTGGTTCCAGGGCTGGTCCAGCTGGAAGCTTGCGAGTGAGGACCCAGTCTCCCGGTGACAGGGCGTCCGATGAAGTTGCAGGGTCTGGTTCTTTCCCCGCAGCTTTCAGGACTGAGCGCACAGCGTTCTGGATCTCACGCAAAGCCTGGAAGGACTTAAGAAGAGTCGGATTAGTGAAATCTGGGGCTGGAATAGCTGCAGATACTCTTGGAATAATAGGAGGGGGGGGCTCCATAGAGGATCTCGTATGGAGATAAAGAGAGGGTTGAGGAATTGGGAGTACACCGGGCCCGGAGGAGGGCGAAGGGAAGGAGACTGACCCAGCTATCGCCAGTTTCTATTTTAAGTTTAGCAATGTGCTCCTTTAGAGTTCTATTCATCCTCTCTACCTGCCCTGAACTTTGAGGCCTATATGCACAGTGCAATTTCCATTTCAATCCCAGCATCTTTGATAGGCTTTGAATTGTTGCGGATACAAATGCTGGGCCGTTGTCAGAGCCTATCGAGGCCGGCAGGCCAAATCTAGGAATAAGTTCAAAGAACAGCTTTTTGGCCACTACGGTTGCAGTTTCAGTTTTGACTGGAAATGCTTCTGGCCATCCAGAAAATGTGTCCACGAATACAAGGAGAAAACGGTACCCTCCCAACCCAGTTCCCATGTCAGTAAAGTCTACTTCCCAATGGTCGCCAGGAAATGTCCCTCGTGGTCTATCAGTCGGTATCCTTGATTGTGATGGCGGGTTGACTTTGGCACATGCAAGGCATCTTCTTGCGGCTTCCTCGGCTGCCTGCTTCATCCCAGGGCTGTAGAAGTGTCGGCTCACCAGGTCGTAAAGCCGGGTTCCACCTAAGTGGGTAAGGCTATGAAGAGTCATCAACAGGGGTAGCAACAGTGCCTTGGGCAGAATTAGCAAGCCATTTGGGTGTCTTCTCCATCCCCCCTTTTCAGGGGTGCCATCCGGATCACTGGATTGATAAGACGGTTGGACAGGCAGCATCCCCTCAGGTTCCACGACCATAGCGGGTATCAAGGGCTTGCAGGCAGCCGCTCGGGCAGCCCTATCCGCTGCCGCGTTCCCTAGAGACGGGGAGTCAGTTCCACGGGTGTGAGCAGGAACATGAATTACCGCCACCTCCTTGGGAAGCCAGACAGCATCCAGCAGTTCCTGGATCTGACTCTTGTTCCTAATCTCCTTACCCGCCAAGGTTAACAGTCCCCGTTGGAGATATACATATCCATGGACATGAACAGTGGCAAAGGCATAGCGGCTATCAGTGTAGATGTTTACTCGCCTGCCTGCAGAGAGTCTAAGGGCTTGAGTTAAGGCAATGAGTTCAGCACGTTGAGCAGATGTGCCGGGGGGTAGAGAGGTCTCCCAGAGGGTCTCAACCAGAGTGACCACGGCTGCACCCGCCCTACGGATCCCCTCCTGAACAAAACTGCTGCCGTCCGTGAAAAGCACTAGGTCTGGGTTTGTTAAAGGAACATCAGTAAGTCCAGGGCGGGACGTGTGGATGGAGTCCAGTGTGTCCAGGCAATCATGTATAGGGGAGGAAGGAGGGGAGTCAGGGAGCAGGGTGGCCGGGTTGAGTGTGACCGGAGGAGCAAAGGTGATGCGCGCGGGATCGAGGAGTAGGGATTGGTAATGAGTCAGGCATGAATTTGAGATCCATCTTGTCGGCGGGGAATGTAAAAGCTGTTCCAGATGATGCGATGCTGAAATCTCAAGAGGCTGCCCGAAGGTGAGCTTAGCGGCTTCTCTAACCAACATGGCAACGGCCACCACAGTTCGCAGGCAAGAGGGCCACCCGGAAGCCACAGGGTCCAGCTGCTTGGAGAGATAGGCAACAGGATGATTCCAGGGCCCCAGGGGCTGGGTCAGAACCCCTTTGGCCACAGCTCGAGACTCAGACACATAGAGGCGGAAGGGCTTGGACAGGTCTGGCAGGGAGAGGGTAGGCGTGCTGGACAGCGCCTTTCGAAGCTTGTCTAATGCTTCCTGCTGCTGTGGTCCCCAAACAAATTGGGTGGGTTCACCTGTCAGAGCTTCATATAGGGGTTTGGCAACCTCGGCAAACCCCAAGATCCAGAGGCGACAGTATCCAGCCATCCCCAGGAATTCCCGGAGCCCGCGGCGGTCCCTCGGGGCAGGCATGCCCAAAATGGTAGCTACACGCCCCCGAGACAGTAACCTTTGACCGGAACGAAGAGTGAAACCCAAGTAAACAATGGATTGAGAGCACAGTTGTGCTTTCTTTCCAGAGATGCGATAGCCGGAAGCCTCAAGCAACTGGAGAAGGTGGAGAGTTGCATCTTTGCATATTGCCTCAGAGGAGGTAGCCAACAAAAGGTCATCAACATACTGGAGGAGAGTGACCTCCGGATACGAGACCCAGAAGGCGGCCAAGTCGGAGGCCAGAGCTGACCCAAAAAGTGTAGGGGAGTTCTTAAAACCTTGGGGAAGCCGGGTCCAGGTGAGCTGAGAGGATGTCCCAGTGTTAGGATCTGTCCAAGTAAAAGCGAATATAGGTTGGCTTACTGGTGCCAAGGGAATGGAAAAGAAAGCGTCCTTCAGGTCCAAAACAGTATACCAAGTCCGAGCAGGGTCCAGGGAAGACAGCAACGTGTACGGGTTTGGTACAGTAGGATGTACAGTTTCCACCCGGGCGTTGACTTCTCGTAGATCCTGGACAGGACGGAAGTCTCCAGACCCGGGCTTGCAAACTGGAAGTAGGGGGGTGTTCCACGAGCTCTGGCAGGGTCGTAGAATGCCTGCCGCCAAGAGTCGATCGATGTGAGGCTTGATGCCCAAAAGGGCAGCTCGAGTCAACGGGTATTGTTGGACACACGCAGGGGTTGCTGTGGACTAGAGCTGGACCACCACTGGGGGCTGGTGTCCTGCTAGACCAAACGGGTTGGTCTCAGCCCAGACCCCAGGAACCAAGCCTTTGAAATGGTTCAACAGAGTTAGGGAAGTAGGGGTGGAGGTGGTCGAGGGGCGGTCTGGGGAAAACGTTAGGGGGAGGAGGTGAGACTCCTCCGACAACGGGCAGGTGAGAACAAGTTGTGGCAGGTTGAACCCGAGAGTGGGGTTAGGTCCCTTAAAGGAAATGATAGCCTGAAGTTTGTGCAGGAGATCTCTGCCAAGCAAGGGGTAAGGGCAATCGGGCATCACTAGAAATGAATGGGAAACTAGGCCCTTCCCTAACTGGACTTCCCAAGAAGTGGTGAGGGGTACAGACTGTTTTCGTCCAGTAGCTCCCTGGACCTGCACAGTGGATGATGAGAGGGAGCCCAGTGGGGATTTCAGGACCAATGCCGCAGCTCCAGAGTCGACTAGGAATGAGACAGGTTGACCCCCAACACTGAGAGTAACCCTCGGCTCCAGGGGGTCAAGAGTCACAACGGACTTTGAGCCGGGGCACCCCTAGTCTGTATTCAAAGTCAATAAAGGCTCTGCCTTCTCTTTCAGCCCACGATTAGGGCACTCAGATTTCCAATGGCCCATGGCTTTGCAGTAAGCACACTGGTCCCGAGCTAAAGGAGGCCTTCCCAAGCCTTTACCCTTATAGGGGCGCCCAGCGTTTGGCCCCTCCCGCCTTCCTTTCCACCCTTGCTTCTGAGCCTCCCCTGGAACCTGTGCTAAAGCTGCCACTACCGCCCTTGCGACCGTGCGAGTTTGCTTGTCTTGAGCCTCTTCACGATAGTCAAACACCCGCTTGACCACTTCCATGAGTTCAGTCAGATTTTTACCCTCAAAACCTTCAAGTTTCTGTAGCTTCCGACGGATGTCCGGAGCCGAATTGGTTACAAAATCAATTACGATGGCTCTCCGGTTATTGGGATCCTCTGGGTCGATAGGGGTGTAGGTTCGATATGCCTCGTAGAGGCGCTCCAAGTATGCAGCTGGGGACTCATTCTTGCCCTGTCTAACCTCACTGACTTTGGACATATTGGTTGGTTTATGTGCTGCTGCCCATAACCCTCCCAGCAACAACTGGCGATACCTGTCCAGTGCTTCCCTACCGCGATCAGTGCTGGGGTCCCAGTCGGGCCGGTTCTCAGGGAAGATGTGGTTGAAGCGCGCCGGGTCAGTAGAGGGATGTCCATCTGGGTCCAGAACTCCCTTCCTGGCTTCTAAAAGAATCCTGTCACGCTCCTCGGTTGTGAAAAGAACCCGGAGGAGTTGCTGGCAGTCATCCCAAGTGGGCTGATGAGTATAAAAGACAGTCTCTAGGAGGGAGATTAGGCTCTGGGGCTTATCAGAGAAGGATGGGTTTTGCTGTTTCCAATTGTACAAATCACTGGTGGAGAAGGGAACATATACCATGAACGGTCTCCCTGATTCTCCGGGAGGGGAAGGAACTTGCCGCAGGGGAAACGCTGACACAGTGGAATCTGGGGTCAAACTGGAATTAGAAGGGCCATAAGGAGCACCTGCTCGAGTATGGGGTGGACTTATCAGAGGAGGGGCTGAGGGGCTCAGAGACCCTGAGGTTGGGTACGGGGGTGGATCTGAAACCTGGGACTGGGAGTACTCGGCTGGATCTAGGGGGTCAGAATCAGGGGGTGGTAAGACAGGAGAGAGCTGTGTGACGACCTTAGGACTTTCGGGAGGCTTGCAGCTAAAGGTCGTCTTTGATTCCGTTCCTGGTCTTAGTTTTGAAAGAGCCTGGACCTGTAGTGGTCCCGAAGGGGGCTTGAAATCAATCCAGGCGGTGATATAGGGGACCTGATCGGGGTGGCCAGGTATACCATAGACAACTCCCCTTACCCGGCCGGCCACCGAGACGTCAAACGTACCCTCCGGGGGCCAGCCTACCTCGAAGGTGGGCCATTCCTGTTGGCAAAAGAGAGCTAGTTTCTTCTTAGTAACCTGAAACCCATAACCTTCTGCTATATGCCGATATTGCTTGAAGTTCTGTAAGACAATAAAGAGAGGGGAGCCTGGCTTAGGGCTCGAGGGTCCCTGTCCCATGGTGGATTAAGGACTGAGAAAGAAAAGAGTAACAAATAGACGTGCTCACGTAGGCAAGGACCAAACACGGACACAGGGAAGACACAGTCAAGACAGGGTAGAGGGGAATCAAACTGCCTCAATTCCGAACAACCTGGACAATGAGACAGGAATTTACACCCCCCTCCTCACGGAACAAATAGTAGATAGACGCACACACACAGTCGACACAAAAACGGGAAAAAAAAAGACACAGTCAAAACCCTGGATGCTCCTGACACAGTAGCGGGGAACAAACCCGTCTCAGTTCCAAACAACCTGGAGAATGAGGCAGGAAGTCTTCCCCCCCCACCCCGCCACGGAGCGCACAGTGGACACACACACACACACACACACACAGTGACATCGGCGCCGGACAGACACAATCAGACAGGCAGGACTCTCACACGGCGTCCCGTGGAGGTCAGTAAGGGCGTTGCAGCTGCGTCCAGCCTGGCCACTTACTTCAGAAGAGTACTCACCAGAACAGACAGATTACAGATTGCTCTATGCCCAATTGAGGATTTGTGGTCCGGGCAGCCTGGTGCGCACGGGCTATCTCAGCATTCGGGGCCAGGGAACGTCTTCCTGGTGGCCACCCGCTGGACAGTGAGAAGCCTGGCCTTCCAGAGATGCCCGTGTCTGGTGCCCAGAGGGCGATCTCGGTGGGACCTCCAAATGAAATGGACGGGCCGAGAGTAACCAGACACACGCCAAATTAGAAAATAGAGAGCATTTACTGGAGCCGGCCGGCGACTGTCCCCTGGATGCAATCCTAGGAGAAACAGTGCCAGGCAAGAGAAATAACAAAGCTTTATACCCAACAGTTTTCAATCATAGATACTAATCCTTTGATGTAGTGAAATTTACAATCATGGATTAGCGATCCTTTGAGGCAGGGGAATTTACAATCGTGGATTCGCAATCCTTTGAGGTAGGGACTAAGGAGGTCAGGCTAGGTTTGTGACAACTCAGTCCACTTCAATTGTTTAAATTAAGTATTTCTAAAAAGTATTTTTGTGAAAAGAAACTTGGTAATTGTGCAAAGAAAGGAACATGTACAATCTCCTTATAATTAATTTAGTTTGCTATAATAACTGGATAAATTATAAGCTGTTTTTAAGAAAGAGAAATACCTTTATGAAGAAATTTTTGCAAAATCTTTTGTATGACTTTTAGAGGGCCTACTAAATTTCTATTTGCAAGCTAATTTTGTTACAAGTAATAATTTGATATTGATGAAAATTATGTTCAAACCTACTGTGAATTTTGAGTTTGTTTTCCTAGGTTTGTTGTGTCCTTGGACTGGTCTTAATGAGTCTTTTTGAGAAACACAGTCAAAATCAGCAACTCAATGGGAGCAGTATCAGAGATCTAAGGCTAGTGATTAATACTAAAGCATCTAAATTTCTGTAATGAGCTGTAAGTGGCGAAGATCTTACTGTTTTGATCCGAATTCATTTCATGATTTGCAAGGGTTAGAAATAGTGTTTGAACTTATCATATGTATAAGTTTCAATCTCTGAAAGTGTCTCATCCTTTCAGATTAAGTATGGCTAAAGAAGAATAAATATGTTTGAGAAACAGTGATGCAAATCTATTAGAGTAGCAACTTATGATCTTAATGGAAATTTGATTTTACTCAGGGTGTTATTTAATTAGGAACTGGAACATGTGTAGGAATGCATGCAAACTACTTAGGGCTGTGAGGAATGCTAACAGTTTGGTTCCCACAGAACTGATAAGAAAAGAGGACAGGGGGAGATTAGGTTATTGATCAACTGATTTCTTGGTTTATTGGTTTACACAAATATGTAAACAAGATAAGGGAGTGAATGGGATAATATAGGGTGAAGCCTCCTCAGGGAGTTAATTGCTTCTTGTTCTATTGCAACACTTGCAGCTGGTTGATCTTGTAAAGAAACATGCTTTTCAACTTTATCAGACCTCCTGCTCCCTCTCTAAAACTATTTACTCTAAAAAGAAAAAGAAAACTTCCTGTCTCCAGGCAGGTTGTAAAAAGTGTCCTTGTTCTTTTGTTGCTGGGGTAGATTGGAATAGATTGTACCCTCAGAGCTTGCATTAATGAGCCCTGAGGAAGGGGGGGAGGGGATTGCACTAGGACTTATATAACCTTTTGATCTGAACACAGCTCTGCTCTCTTCAGTCAGTGCCAATTTTTTGGTGTTCTAAGGGAGCCCTTTCTCGAGAAAGCTAATAAATGAATTTTTCTTTATGCTAATATCTCTGAGTCTCTGATTTATTGATAAGGGTCTCTGTACCCCACACAGGGCTCACTTTAGAGATGTTCCCTAACTAATATGAGATTATAGTCACATCTGAAACCCTGATGATGGGAATTTGCTATTGAAGATTTTGGGGGCTGCTAATGAACTATTATTCTGAGTCTAACTCCAGATATTGTTATCAAGGCACTGATTGAGCTACTGACTCATGATGCCAGCAACCCTGTGGGGGGGTCTATGAGCTGCATCTACGAGCTGCAGAGGGTGTTCTTATGATAAGGTCAGGAGAACAACTATTCTGCATGGGCTGAGGTAGGATTCTCCTGACTCGATTTCCTCACTATGACACCTGGCAGACTTTAAGCCTGCCTCAATGCAGTTGGCCATTATATAATTTCTGTCTGAAATTGACATGAAGCTAGGGAAGCATTGTTCTCTTTAGCTATGTCATGGCAAATTTCTCCAATCAAAAACTATTGTAAGCATGATATCAAATCTATTAAATAATAGATTGATGCGAGAGGTGGGAAGGTGGGTTACCAATAATCTTTCCCTGGGCCAGAGTGGTTTCCCACAACCAGTACACAAGTGAAAAGCAAATACAGTAATCCTGGAGTCCTGTTGGAGTTATGTTGTTCAAGTCTTCGAAAGTTGTTACTTGGTGGGTCACAGGACCATAGTTTTGTGATGGGAATAGGTTCTATCATATTTTATTTACTTCACTTAAGGTACACAGGCACAAGAGTGCACTGAGTGAGAGCAATGCAAAGTTTTGATTGATCATTTCAAGTTGCATTGTTAATTTTGGTTCCTGAGTCAGAGAGGCAGCTCTTGAGAAATCTAAATCATTAGTAAATTCATTACACATATAATATTTATTAATATTAAAATCATAATTCCCTTCACACCTTTGTAACAACTCTCATATGTGTGTCCTTATCTCCTCTGACATTTCCACCACCTTGGAGCAGGCCCTCATCAATTCATGCAATGGACTACTGAAAGCCTTCTGGTTGGAGTCTCTACCTCCAGACACTCCCATTCCAGTCTGTCCTACACCCAGTTCTCAAAATCATCTTCCTAAAGCAGAAGTCTGACTGTGTTCCCTCCCTCCAACCTCTGTTTTTCTACTCAGTCAAATCCAGTGCCTCCCTATCAATTCAGGATGAAATATAAATCCTCTCTGGCATTCAAAGCCTTTCATAAACTACACACCCTCACCTTTCCAGTTTCCTTACACCATAAACACTCCCCTACACTCCCTTCACCTTTTCCTACCAGCAACACTGGCCTCCTTGCTGTTCCTAGCACAAGATCCTCCATCTCCCAAATCTGGGCATTTTCTTTCAGTGGCTGTCCTCCACTCCTGAAATATTCTCCCTCCTCATCTCTGCCACCTAACTTCATTGGTTTTCTTCAAATCTCAGCTAAAATCTCACCATCTATAGGAAGATTTTCCCTTTCTCCCAGATTTCTAGTACCTTCCTCATTTTGCTTATTTCTAGTATTTCCTGTATGTGGCTTGTTTGTTGATGGCAATTTGCATGGTGACTCCCCTGTTACTTTGTGAGCTCCTTAAAAGATCAGGAACTCTCCAGGTTTTTTTTTTTTTTACTTCCATATTTCCAGTGTAGAACAGAGCCTGGCTCATAATAAGCAGCTTAAAAAATGTCTACTGACTGAATGGTACCTGGTTGGCCCTTGTTTTCCCTGACATAGCTTCCTGGTCCCCTTAGGGCATAAAAAGTCCCACCAATGGGCAGTCAGAACCTCTGACCTTCGTGGATTTCTGAAGACCACTCAAGTCCTCATAGTTTTTCCTAGCACCCTGCTCTGATAATGTATTTATATGAAGATGAGATGGGCTGTGTTCAGAGAAACTGTGTCACTATATCGTTGTTGTATTTCTGTGCTGTGTTAGCTCAAAGTAAACCTGCTACTGTTAACTGTCCAATGACATCCCACTACTTCATTTCATCCTGACACTGACCCTGAGATGCTCAAGTCTCCTCTAACAGCCTGGTACACGAGAGAGACTCAGAGACTTCTTCTGTTCAAAGAAGTTTCCTCTTGACTGTAGGACCTGCAGGGCCAAAACTTTTATTTTATGTTAGAGTCAGAGAGGAAGATAAATCATAAAAACAATTTTATGCACGAAAGAGTTGGGAGAATTGGGAACACCATTCCTAGACTCAAAAAAATTGAGGAAGAGCAGAGATGATCAACAAAATCTGAGTTAGGCATTTCCTTGTTTATTAGATTTTAAGTCAATTTACTTTAGAACAAGCCATTTGTTGAGCACTTACTGAACATTCAGCATAATGTTAGTCTGTGCAGAGGAGTGGCAGGGAGGAAAACAATGAAGAAGGGTGGAGATTAGGGGGAACAATACCCCATGGGTAACTTCCAGAATTAGCTGTTCTGTTCTCCTTTCTATTTCCCTTCATTCCCTTTGGATTGGAAAGGACAGTTCCACCAAATTAGACACCCCTTTGGGATAATGACATTGAATACATGAACATAGATTTGTGGGGTTCACAAAGTGGAAGTGAAGACTGGCAATGGAAATAATGTACTACAGCCCTTAGTACAGAGCTTTGCACATAGTAAAAGCTTAACAAATGCTTTTTCATTCATTCATTCATGGCTGGCAGTACAGAGCTCTTTTTGAATAGATGATGGGTTTGAGAGCTGTTGAATAATCAAAATCCTCCACAATTTTTTCTCTGTAACAAATCTAAAGGCAATGTCAAAAATACCATGAAAATGCAAGTGGAATGAGAACTTGAGAAGATGGATTTGTCACGGCAACCCTCTCCATGACTATGTTGAGGATTATATACATAGTGAATGGTAATCGTCCATCAAGACCTGCTCTGATTGCTTCAGGAGGTCTGTTTACAGTTTGAGACAGTGGTGGCAATTGCCTTTCAAAGGCATCTGTGGGAGAGATGGGGGGGCACAGCATGTGCCCAACAAGTCAATACATCATCATCACCACCTTGTCTAGCATCTCCCCACACACCCAGATGGTGGCAGACTCATGTCCTGAACCCCAGAGTCTTGGAAAGAACACCCCCCCCAGGCCATCAGACCTGCTTTCATCCCAGGCTCCACAACAATCATTGAGAAAAAAAATCATTGGAAAGACAGAGCCCTCTTTCCTCATCATTACCAGCAACAACTGCTGACCAACTGTCACCATACACACAAAAACATACAAGAGTCCTTGGAGTGGCAGCATTCTCCAGAAAAGCAAGTCTGCATCCAGCCCATCCCTCACAGCCATCAGTTGGAGAAGCAACTCCTACAGAGAAGGGACCAGCCATCTGCACTAAACTGTCAACTACTTACTATTCACAAGGCAGGCAAACCAGACTAGCTGAAGACAACCTGACTATCTATTCATCAATCAATCAACCATTA